CCTCTCCCCCTCCCCCCTCCTACCTTCCACATTCAGTACTTCACTTGTATGTCAATTGTATGGTCATCTGACGGTGAGATATGCCTCGCGTTCTTTCAAAGGCTGCAGTTGTGGAAAAGGCTCCACCGAATGGAAATTCCGAGACACCGGGGAGAGAGAGAGAGAGATCATTCAATTGGCTCTATTTCCATAGAATTGTGTCTCAGGGGTTGAAATGAATGCTCACTTAGACATTTTCCACTTTTTTGTTCGGAATCTAGAAATTCCGTTTGCCCTTCCAAAGGAGAGAAGAAGCATCAGCGTTCACATAAATGGAATTCATCTACTATTTCGATGTTTTTTGCGGAAAAAATACGCAAGTTATTTTCAGGTCAACGAACGTCCTATAGTTCGAACTCTTATGAATTTCGAATACTTTTGCACTCATCAGGATGCATGTGAATTAGAGCAGTGTTTGCTTTCAAAAGAATTACGTAATCAAAAAAGCAATCGATATAACTAACTTTTCACATACTATAAAGCTATTTCATTTTCTGACGTAAATTACAATCAAATAAGCATTTGCAATTACTATTCAGTAGTGAGGCACCTAACGAAACGGTAATTGGACAATCCCCTCCTCCACTTCATTAACGGAAGGATCGAAAATTGAATTACCAGAAAGTTGGAAATTTAAGCGCTTCAAAGGCTTTCTAAATCCAGGAAGAGGTCGAACGATCAACTTTATAGCACCACGCTATTGTCTCTGGTTTCCAAGCTCTCAAGGGGTTATTGTCCAACTCAGATTAAACAGAGTCACTGTCGACGTGAAACTAGACCTGCGTTCTCCGTCTAGTGATGGAGGTTGCGGAATCGACCTTCGAAAATGTCACTCCGGAAGTACCATCAGAGTATGGATAAAGGCAAACCTGGCTACGCAATCTTTGATCCCTTTTGGGTTCAAAACGAGACTGGTATGTGGAGTTAATACTAAAACAAATACTGTGAAAGTCATAGCTACCAGGTCTTAGATTCAAAAGTTTTCTTGTGTCCAATGAAGACGGCACCTACCTGACTGCGTGAATGTAAATAAGCCGAAATCAAAGAGGGCTCGAGATGAAATAATGGCTCAAAAACAGGCCAGAAACATACACCAAACTAGTTCGGAAGTAGACAATCGAAATTGCGCTTGTCAAATTACAAGTTGACTCTATTGATAGACAATAAATACACACACACCAAGATGAAGCGTAAACTTCGAAGTAGAGCGCACATGACTACTATTACTGCAGCCAGACCACATTGTCTGCGGTCTTTCATTGTATCTGTTCTACTGCAAAATTAACATAAATAGAGCTGATATTTCGGAGACAGGGCCAAAAAGGAGGGGAAACAGTCTTACTTGTGACCTCATTTACTGTGAATAAACAAAAATTCTGTCCATGTACGGTTGAATGATTCGAGATATCACTTGGAGAGGCTATTAATCTGTCCTACAAGTTGGCATGCTATATACCCCATTCAAATTTGATTAAACTTGAAGGGAAATATTTGACAAGAAAGTGTGGGGGGTGTGGGGGGGGAGGTTTAGTTCATTACACTATTCTCGTTAATCTCACTAACGGTGATCACAAACTTCAATCTAGACTACAACTGTCCGGAAATTAGAATGCGGGTCACTTTAAGGCCGGGTTTATTCGATCGAGACTAACATTGTCTAGTTGGTGGTTTATGATCCTTGAAAAAGCCTTATGTAGTAAAGTTTATCCCTTGATCGGTTCGCCAATGATTATTTTGATTTCTAGTCAACTTTGCTTAGCATGTATTGGCTGAGTTGGCTATCCCCAAGATTTCTATTTTCAGTTTCCGCCCTCCCCCCGCCCTCGCCCTAGGGTCAATCATGCCCATAGATGGTATTGGTTTAAAAGTACTAATGGAGACAACGGCTCTAATCGACAATGGACAATAACCAGAGCCAACCAAAATCATGTTGACACATTCAACAATGTAGGAAGCTGCTCAAAAGTCCCTTAACACTGTTAAAAGAATGCGGAATGGAACTGGAGTGAACCGGAGTAGAGATTAGGAGTCCGCTCTGGCTATAGGGAGGTAACGTAAGAGACAATCTGATCGGGTTGTTCTCCCACCTTAGCGTCGCAGTTCGCGTGGCTTTGTAAGCAATGTCGATTGAGCCAATCAGTCTACAATCAATGAAGATCTTCGCCACCACAAGCTCACACAAACGTTGCTGAGGTCAAATCCCCATACAACCACCCCCCCCCCCCCCACCGAAAATCGTCTGCCAAGAGCGAAGAAACCCCCCAATCAATGTGAGACATCCTAGTGAACCAGAAACAATCCGGTCCTTTCGTTAAAATCTAAAACACAACAAGCAAGACACCGGTTGGCTTAGCTCTCAATGAGCTTAATGGACACTGCTCAATTCGTGCAAACTAAATTTACCCAAACGTTCATGGTTTTCAGATGTGTGTCTTCCTACACCGAGTATGATGTGATGTCTACAAAGTATTTTAAAGGGCTTAGGTCGAATAAAGTTCCCTCCATGGAATTACTGGAATTGGTGTAATTAAGCCCTGGATAACAAGCAGCAGTAATCAATAATGGTTAAAAGGTTGGTTGTCGTTCAATTGTTTTAGATAAACCAGTCCCAATGTTTGGCCTCTAAACCCCCCCCCCCCC